GGCCCCGTCCATCGTCCCTTTGATACGGTGAAGTTGTCCTGTCCCCTAAGCAGAAAAACACCCCCAAAGCATAATGTTTCCACCTCCATGTTTGACGGTGGGGATGGCGTTCTTGGGCTCATAGGCAGCATTCCTCCTCCTCCAAACACGGTGAGTTGAGTTGATGCCAAAGAGCTCCATTTTGGTCTAATCTGACCACAACACTTTCACCCAGTTGTCCTCTGAATCATTCAGATGTTCATTGGTAAACTTCAGACAGGCATGTATATGTGCTTTCTTGAGCAGGGGGACCTTGCGGGCGCTGCAGGATTTCAGTCCTTCACGGCGTAGTGTGTTACCAATTGTTTTCTTGGTGACTATGGTCCCAGCTGCCTTGAGATCATTGACAAGATACTCCCGTGTAGTTCTGGGCTAATTCCTCACCGTTCTCATGATCATTGCAACTCCACGAGGTGAGATCTTGCATGGAGCCCCAGGCCAAGGGAGACTGACAGTTATTTTGTGTTTCTTCCATTTGCGAACAATCGCACCAACTGTTGTCACCTCACCAAGCTGCTTGGCAATGGTCTTGTAGCCCATTCCAGCCTTGTATAGGTCTACAATCTTGTCCCTGACGTCCTTGGAGAGCTCTTTGGTCTTGGCCATGGTGGAGAGTTTGGAATCTGATTGATTGATTGCTTCTGTGGACAGGTACCTTTTATACAGGTAACAAGCTGAGATTAGGAGCACTCCCTTTAAGAGTGTGCTCCTAATTTCAGCTCGTTACCTGTATTAAAGACACCTGGGAGCCAGAAATCTTTCTGATTGAGAGGGGTCAAATACTTATTTCCTTCATTAAAATGCAAATCAATTCATAACATTTTTGACATGCGTTTTTCTGGATTTTTTTGTTGTCCTTCTGTCTCTCACTGTTCAAATAAACCTACCATTAAAATTATAGATTGACCATATCTTTGTCAGTGGGCAAACGTACAAAATCAGCAGGGGATCAAATACTTTTTTCCCTCACTGTAGCTCAGTGGTCCATTACCTGATAAAAAATAAAATGAAGTGGAAATACTCTTCTTTTAGGAGGATTCTTCACTTGGAGGCATGCATCCACGGAGTAAGCGTTAGCACACTGGACCTTTTTTAATATATAAATTCGGTGCAATAGTGAACAACAGCCATATCAGACATTAGTACATCTAATCGGCATAATCATTGGGTTCACCGCAGCTCAAGGTGACGTTAGGAAATGTCGCATGTGCTGCTCGGCATTTGAAGGCCTGAAGACCAGAATCGGTGATTTCGCCGACTTGCAATCCAGAGGCCACCGGTTCAATCTGCCAGCGTGGCAGTTGAAAAAATGGGAACGTATCTTAAATCATCCCATCCCTGTTCATCCAGGAAATAAGACGATAACACCACAGTTGGTGTGGAAGGATGAAGTCTGGGTATTCCCACCTCTTCGAAAACGTCGACCCAGCGTGGAAGAGTAGACCAACTGTCGTCCACCCATTCGTTCTGCTTATTGGACAGAGGTGGTGGGATTTGAGAAACTAGGCAATCGTTTCAACTGAGATGGAACCTGCGACCTCAATTGAACCTGCAACATTTCGATTTTCAAATTCAGTGCGCTAACCATTGCACTGTGACATCATCCCCTGGGTATGAGTAATGATATAAACAAAAAACAATAATGCACAAATTAATAATCATGCCTCCAGTCCCGAAGCTCCTGGTAAAGCAGTGTTCTTCACTAATTTTCGGAGGGGGGGGTGGGAGCCCTGTCGCCGAGAAGACATCATCAGTGTGAGGACCACCACATTTGAAACCATTGGGGTTTGACAGCAGCACGATGATGATGGTTGGGGGGGTGGGGGGGGTGATGTCACGTGTTGTGTATTGTCGGGGGCCTCACGTCAGGGCCCGCACTCAAGGCCACCGGGGGCCCACCGGCGGCCTGCATTGGTCGAATGCGACTCGTGGAAGATTTTGCTCAATTTCCGAGCACTTTACAGCCACCGTTCCTCCGCCACGTCCATCTCCGTTGATAATAACGTGTCAGCAGTGACCCGCGCGCCAGCCCATGCGACCAATGTACACAAGAGCGGTGGCTGCTGAACCCACACCACCTCAATTAGTCAGCTAATCCAGCGTGGGTACTTAAGAGCACCTCTTGTCAGCCGTGCTCAATGCAATTAATTTGAACTGTACGGAGTGCCATCAATCATTTAATTAAAAGGTGTTGTGGGGTTGCACGTGTGCTTGGCTGAGCGCTCACGAAAATGCGGGAACCAGGATTTTTTTTTTGTTTTGTTTAAGTGACGGTGCTCGAAGAGCGTTCAATGATTGCTGATGAAGGGCGCCGCGTATATAATAACGTCATTAATTATTGTATTCAAATGTAAATTCGCCAGTGTTGCATGCAAGCCCAAGTTCTTCCGGCCCTTGCGGCTTTTTCTCGAACTATGTTTTTTTTCTTGTTTTCTTCAGCTGTACCATTTTACACGTGTATACCGCGTACGTATCGATGGTCGTAAAACCGAGTGAGTGAAAGGGTGACGCACATTTTTAATGATGTTCCGGAATTGCTGGAAAAGCTGACATGTCTATGCAGATTCATCATCATCGTCGTCAGCCATGATCAATTAACTGCTTGATAAAAGCCTCCCTCGACGATCTCGTGATGGAACCTCTCATCTAGCTCCTGCATATGATCTGATATCACCCCGTGTCTACTGTATGACGAGAACAATCTTGCATCTAAAACTGTATAACTGGTCCTCAAAATAAATTATGCCTTAGAGGTTGCTTGGTTTTACTCAGAAGCCAAGCTCAGCCTAAATATCTCTTGGCTTTTGGTCTTATGTTAAACACGGTCACACAAAAGAGACACGATCCCCATCTCCCGTGAACCAAGTAGATTTTCATTCCATTGCATGTGATGCTGAGGCTGGTAAAAATCAAGAAACGTCCTGCTGTCTAGTTTGCAGCACATGTTTATGTCACGCATTTTGCACGCATGTCGCTGTTTAATACATTGATTGGATTGAACATTGTTAAATGAATGCCTTTGCTTAATTTAAAACCAAGTGAAATCTCTTTGAGATGAATTGTATTTTTTTTCAAACATGGCAAAAATATATATTTAAAACGAAGCAATAACACAGCAACTGAAATGCATTTTTAAATTGAGTAACTAACTTAGTTTCAATCACTGGAGAGATACAACAACTTATGAATATATTAGCTCATATATTAAGGCATTTAAAACGTATTTCAAAAGCCCTTGCATTTTATACTGTTCATGTAAATAATCTACAACCTAAACAAATAATGTACTGTGCAAGGTTGGAATCAAAGATAAAAAAAATTAACTGCCTGGTTAAACTATGCCGGTTTATTTGTTATTTCCCATGCAGTAATAAGGGTCTGGCTTTGTTAGTGACTGGGGCACCCTTACCCTTGACGCAATGCACATTTCTGTTGATGATTTAACGCAAAATGATGGATTGTGTGGCGCTGCGCGGATTCGGCATAAAACAACTCCTGATGTCGACCTTCATGATTGACAATGACATCGCGCAATTGTCTGTTCCATTGTGGTCGTGGATCCAGTTTGGCTGGGGATAAATGCTACTTTAAGGCTTCTACGGTCTCAAATCGGTAATAGGAATGGGATGGTAGAGGCGTGATTGGCACTGCCACGCAATAAATTACGGATTCTTGTCCCAACAAAATCTCAGCATGTGTGCATTAATAACGCTTTGCATTTCTATTCAAACTGCTGATTAATCCACCGGTGTGGGTCAACTGCGACTTGAAAACCGTGACACTGAACGTATCACCTTCCACCGAAAGCTTAATTCGCTCACATTAGGACCCCCCGGTATGCGAGAAAAAAAATATATAAGTGAGTATTGCTGAAGCGAAGCTGATGGCAGTGCCGTCAGTGCCTCGGAGAGAGAGAGTTCGGAGGCATGCAGGAGGCAGCGACAATGCGCATTGAGACCTGGGGGGTGCAGTTGGCATGCAACTTTGCTTTATGACAATAACGAAAAACGTCTGAACTTTCAGGCAATAGGCAGCATCCTTTGTTTTACCAGCAGATGAAATAAACCCCATTGAGACATATGTGGAACAATGCCTCCTTTTTGTTGCAAGGGTGACCTGGAATTGATCGTGGATTGACGCTGCAACAACGCTCATCCCCGCTTCGACAAGTAGTGCCGTGAGAGTACTGCATCCGTTGCGAGGTGTTAACGAATCGACTCTGAGAACGATTCATTTACCATCCGTGTTTTTTTTTTCTCCCGCGCGTGTGTTTTTTTTTACGCGTGATGCTGTAACGCACTCAAGACACACAACGGCACGTCGCAGACGTCCACACATTGCCGCACGCATTCTCGCCGTCCACTCGTTGAGGACGTTCGACGGACGTTGAGATGGCGAACCGTGAACGTTCAAGTGGCAGTGTCAGGGGCGAGCGTCGGGCGTGAGCGCCTGTAGTGCGGGAAGAGGAATAGGGCCCGGGGAATTTGTGCCAAGGTGGAATTGAAAAATAAAGAGTGTGCAAACACACACGGAGAGCGATTCACTACCCTTTAGTACAATAACAATGGTGGGAATCTTGTCGAATTAGAAGGGATTGTGATAATTTCAGATCCAGGAACACAACCCTATTTTCTCCTTTAGGTCTATTACTTGTCGAACGCGTGTTTTTCTCAACACGCCATTTTGCAGAAGAATGTAACTCCCATTTTCAGGGAGTTCTGAATACATTTCAAGAGCCAGCAGCCTCTGGCTGCATTGAGCAAACTTGTGTTCGCCATGTCATCTGCACCTAGTTAACCGGGAGTAACCCCGAGGTATGAACGGAGAGGGATTGGTAGCTGGAGATGAGAATATATGGTCCAAGATGTGACGAGATCGATGGCTGAGGAGTAGTAAGTGCGACTGTGCACGTGCCTACAATCTGTTGTGTTGTGTGTGTTTTTTTGCGTTTGTTTTCTCAGACGTCACCATACAGCCCACGCCAGCCCTGACATATCGCACCATTGGAGGGGTGCTCGACTTTTACATTTTTTTGGGGCCATCGCCAGAGGAGGTGGTCCAGCAGTACCACGAGGTATGTACCGTGGAGATGCACCGCGGACAATAAGTTATCATTCGTTGCTCACAGACCACCGTCAGTAGCCGCTCAGGTTTTACCCACCCTGCTGTGTTTTCCAGTTGTGTCCCTCCAACAGATATCTTCAATTTTAACACGTAGGCTTTCGTGACCAATGTTATTCATAATTAAGGTGTCATTTTTTGGGGGGGTTAGATGGTGTAAGTATGAATGTGTTGTTACTACTTCAGCACACCAGTTTGTAACTAAATGGCACGTTTCGTTTACGTGAAAAACCTTACTAATTAGCTGTGTCGAGTGGTGATGGGTTAAAGACACGTGAATATGTATGCCATTTAACAACAACAAAAACCTTTATTATGAAAGATATCTTCAATTGAGAATAGGTTTTCTCCTTTTTCTGGCTAGAAAACAGGTGTTAAGATCTTAAAACACCAAACTGAAACCTTTTACAAGGAATCATATCTAAATTAACCACAATACTTGTGGTCAGAATGCAAAAAAAAACATACTCATAGTATATGCATTGTCTTTGAAACTGAATCCTCTGGTCTAACACCGTTTGAGACGAGGCTCGAAAGAAAGCTGTCTCTGGTGTGGACCAATCAGTTTCAAGGACAATGCATCATATTATCAGAGTATGTTTTATTTTTGCATTCTGACCACAAGTATTGTGGTTAATGCAGACATGATTCATTGTAACAGGTTTCAGTTTGGTGTTTTAACATCTCAACACCTGTTTTGTTGCCAGAAAAAAGGGGAAAACATATCATCATGTTTTGGTACTGGCAAAGGAGGTCCCATAATATATCTTCAATTGTTTCACAATCTTGTTAGCAGAATTAAGTTATCCCAGCTCCAGCCCCCAAGAGGTGAGATCCAACCCACATTTATCCTCCCTCCTGCACGGAAAATGTATGAGGTACAACGTCACAATTAACCGTCCACACCCATTGCAGTGTGTGTGCACCGTGTGTTCATCTCGCGTACACGGTGGTGATATGTTATCATCCTCGCCTGGTATGCATGCGGGGGTTCGATCCCGACCCTTGACGCCTATATATTTTGAGTTTGAATGTTCTCCCCTCCACGGTTATTAACATGTATTGATAATATTTCGATTATTTTGCCACTATAAATGTCCAAATGATGGGTTTCTTTGTTGAGCTATCATTTGTGGCCAGGTCACTTCTGAAAAATAAGTTAATACCTCAGTGGGCTTTGCCTGGTAGGATGGGGATGGATTAGTGTTGTATTTGTAATTGTTTGTCTGACTTGTTTTCCTTTCTGGTACTCTTTGGTTCTATTCGGTAAAGTCACGTAGGTGAAGGGACCAGACTGTCTAGAGACAGTCTGGTCCCTTCACCTGATGAAGGCCGCTTGTGTTGTGGCCGAAACGTCGTGATTTTTGTTGTTTTATTTTTTTACCTACGTGACTTTACCGAATAGAACCAAAGAATATGGATCCTTGCAGTCACGAAAGCTTCAAATCTAGAACCTTTCTGGTACTTTGCACTCATATCGTGTCCTTGTTGGTTATTGTAACGTTCTTACCCGCCCCTAATGGACATATGGGAAAAATAGCTTAATAGATCACCGGATTCCTCCAGTATAAATACAAATTCTGATTCTAACTTGTAAAATACAGCGTAGCATTTTCCCCGTGTTCAAAGCAGCTTGCTCCATGTCTTTTATTAGGCTGTCACCAATATGCCACTGATCGGCAATCCGGTTGCAAACCGACGATTACGCAAGAGAAGCTCTGAGAAGAATTCACCACCATCATCGCCATCGGTCATGACCACTCCAGCGGGTGGTGAAGGCCTCACCGATCCATTACCGCCGCTCAGTCGGAGACCCACTTCTATTGCGCGCTAGCAACGATCATCGACTGCACCCATCATGGTCGGCACAGCTACGCCGCGTTTGCAGGGTCGCCATCGTAACAGCGTCGTTCTGAGCGGAGCTGGTTGGGAGGGGAGGAATAAAATGCTTTAATGAAAAAACAGTCGAGGGTAACTTCAGCGATGGGGAATGTGCGAGTCTGATGAACGGGTGTGACTGGTCCCCACTCCCGCCTCCCCATACAAGTTTTTGCTATTTGAAAATATTTTAAAGCAATACAATTCCTCATCCTGTCACAATGTCGGAAAGGGCATTAAGGCGCATTCATAGTTCGTGGATGGCGTGTGTGTGGCTAGGAGAGGTACAGGTACGTTTAGACCCGTTTATAGAATTCGATAATTCTCGTCTGAGCTGTTACGTGAACGCTGATTACACCTGCAATAAAAGTATAATGGGTGGTCAGCGCACCGTTTTCAGAATCCGGCGACCTGAGTTGGAATCCCGGCCAAGGTTTAATGCCCCCCCCCTCCACTCGACTCCCCCCCCCCCACCCTTTACCAACCTGCACGAACTAGTGTGGTTGAAGTTTCTTTTGTTGAACCAGGTGAACGCTCCAAAGACCGGGATAAGTTTAATTCGCAAAAGTGACCAACTGCGTTAATCTGCCAGTAGGGGGGTAATGGTTTGCTATGTATGGTTCCAATTGTGCAATTTGCAGATCTACATTTTTCTAATTTTGGAAACTTTGCCAAATTGGTAAAAATACGGCAAAAAAAAACTCCCATCATTGACAAACTTTACTGATTGCCTGTGTCGGGTGGGTTGAGAATAGCTGGATATTTTGTTGTTGTTTATTTCCATACAAATTGAAACCTCGCCTTATTTAAATTACAGCACGCCTAACAAATAGCATACCATTTGTATTGCAACAATTCCTAATATACGCTCGCTCGCCCCCCCCCCCCCCCCCTCCCATCGCGACATTCATAAGTAAATGAACATGTCTGTTGTGGATGATATGAGGGGTTGGCAAGTTAATCCTTTAGAATGAAGCCCGTGACTGATGTTCAGTATCTGCATAACAGCCCACACCAGAAAACGTTAACATTCATTTTTTTGAGTGCACAATGGATGGATTGCTTAATGCCCGTTTGATGGTGTGCCAGATGTAATTGTTCATGTCACCGCGGCCAGAAGTCTTTGCAATTCATTTGTCCATCTTCCACAATTGCTGAAAATGCAAAGGAAGTCTCAATTAATGCTCGTATATTGAACTTCTTTCGTGCAACGTATGTAGCCAACCGTGCTAATCACGCACGTCTGTGGATTACACTAAGATTCCCTGTGCCGCGCATTTGTCCTCGATTTGTATTTAATCACGAAAACTCGCAATGCGGAAAGATGACGGGTTCGTGGGCAGAACAAAATATGTTTACACACGTTCAACTCGTGCCATTTTGCTCTGCTTTTATCTCCAAATTCTGGGCAACCTTTCGTGCAATTTATTTACGTGATCTTCTCTGGCAATTAAAATATTTGATGATGGTGCCTTGGCAGTGATGAACATGCACAGTTACAAAAAAAAACATTCCCCAGTAACACTGCGTTAAAATAAATATATAGACAACGTTTTGGGCAATAGCCCTTCTTAATGTGTTAAGAAGAATGGCTATTGGCCAATGCTTGGCCCATTGTATATACAGAATATATTTATATGTTTACGCAGTGTCATTGACGACTGTGTAGAGTTTTTTTTTTTCTAAGGCAAGTCCCCAACAGCAAAATAATTCCATATTAAAGTTATCCTCTTATCGCATCATCCTTAGGAGAGTGAAGAGAGTTATTGTGAACCCATGGTATAGACAGATGGACGGATGGATGGATGGACAGACAGAGATAATTCATGCACTAACGCTTTGAACATTAGTTGGAAAGAGTTATGGAAAGAGTCCTTCAAAGGCCATTCTTGGACTATATTTTACCCCTGTAGAACATTATTCATACTTTGGCATGTAGAATTAATACCTCCACACTGGGCAATTAAACAAAAAGCTTCGTAGTGTACACACTATTATTTGGTTCTTTCGGTAAAGTCACGTAGATAGAAAAAAAGTTAATACCAATAATAACATAAAAGTAAAAACAAAAACCACGACGTTTCGATCGCAACACAAGCGGTCGTCATCAGGAAAAGGGGGGTTAGCCTCTAAAGGCAAACTGTTTATTAAAGTTTATAGATGGGCGTAGCCCAAGTGCGTCAGCAGCATGGGCGGGGCAGCTAATGTTAATGTGGGAAACAACTCAGCAGTTAGTGGGTCTCCACCAAAAGTTCCTCCAGGCAATCATTGCCCCTCGCTCCACACACCCACACTGCTGACGGTGGAGGTTGACAATAAAACACAAATCATGACCCCCAAATGGTTGATGACATCTTTCCAATGATTGCTGAGTTTATAACCATCTTCTTGATTGAAATTGTGCCTGTGTCTGTATATAAGGTTTGCTTCATGAACGAATCTTTGTTGATAGCCAAATGCTATTAACGTATGCGCATATCCTCACTCATTACTAGCATGTGCAAAAATGTGAATTGACATGGAGCATTTGTTCAGACATGAATAGATGTAACATTTACGGTTGTCTTATTGCTCGGTAATATTAATGTCGTTATATTTTACATATCTTAAATGTGTCAAACGTTTTAAAGACAACTACTCATTGGCAGTGGTCTTGCAGTGGTAGAACAAAGGGGGCAAGAGGAGTAAAAAAGAAATGGCATGATTGCACTTGGCACCAAAAGTTCGGAAACGAATTTGAAATTGGCTCAAATAATATAGATATAATTCATCCCTTTGAAACAAAATATTCTACGGGGGGGAGGGGGGGGGGGGAGTTTCAAAGTTTTTCTTTGGCAGTAGCCAATGACCGAGTTCGCCCAAAATGCATGGAATCTTGTTAGATACCAAACTAAGCACAATTGTGCCTGGTTATAAAACGTTACAGTACTTGGATGAAGCGCTTGGTGGACATACCAGGCATAGTATGCTTGGACTGCGAAATGGCCAGAATATGGCGGGACAAACATGTATTCTTGAATCCATCTACGTGGAGCTTTGTGTGTGTTCGTGCCTCCGATGAGCACGGCTGGCTAT